AGAGAGAGAGAGAGAGAGAGAGAGAGAGAGAGAGAGAGAGAGAGAGAGAGAGAGAGAGAGAGAGAGAGAGAGAGAGAGAATGGCGCGGCAAAGAGTTCATCACTGTGGAGTGAGTAATAGGTATTCAGTAAACCCGCGAGTTCCAGCACCTTTTCCTCCTGCTCCATATCCTCTTCCTCCTCGGGATCTCTCTCCAGAACCCACGACCCACCTTGCCCTTCGCCTCCCTTTCGCTTCTCCATTCACTCACCACGAAACCTGGTCGCCCCAGGCCGCCGGAGGCGGCGACCTTCTTTATGGTCGCACGACCGGTGCGGACAGGCAGGGCTTCCTCGCCACCCACTTGCTTGAGAATCGCAATGGCTGGCAATTGGGCGGTGGAGGGGCAGAGGGAGGGAGTACTGCGAGAGAGAGGGAGATGGCAGAGACGCTCTACGCTGCTGGTCAGAAAGGTTGGATCGTTACCGCCCCTGCGGTGCCGCTCAGAGCCCCACAGGTGGGCGACGACGAGAGTCCACGGCTGCGCGACCCTTCAAATGGCGGGAAAGTTATTGGCGGGAAAAACTATTTTGATCCTGTCGCTTTACAAAAGCGAGTTTGGGGCACCGCGCTGGTTGAATCGGCGCCTCAAGCTGCGCGCCGAGCCCTGATGGCGGACGTGGAGTCCCACCCCTTGCCCGTTCGTCGAAATTCTAAGTACCGGCGGCTGTCGGTCACAGAGGAGGACTTGAAGAGGGAGGAGCTCGCATCAGCCGCTCGGCAGTATCTGAGGCGCTATGTGTCGGACCGTTTCCACAACGCAGGGGCCAGCACACAGGTCAGTATGGCAGAGTGAGAACGGGTCCGAATGTGAAAACAAGAAGCTAAGGAAATGGGGGGAAAAAAGGCGCAGCTGAGGAGGAAGGGAGGGAGGAGGAGGAGAGGAGAGGAGGAGAATGATTGTGATGAGATTCTGACAGAAGAGAGGAGGCAGGAGGAAGAAGAGAGAAGAAGAGAAGAGGAGGAGGAAGATGGGACGAGGAGGAAGAGGAGGAGCAAGGGGAGAAGAGGAAGGAGCACCAGGAGGAGGAGGAGGAGGAAGAGGAGGAAGAGGAGGAAGAGAAGGAAGAGGAGGCGGATCAGGAGAAGAGGAAGAGGAAGAAGGAGAAGAAGGAAAGGGGGGAACAAGCGAGGAGAAGACGGAAGAGGGGGAACAAGCGAGGAGGGAGGAGGAGGAGGAGGAGAATGTGAGGAGTAGGAGGATGGGAGGAAGAGGAAGAGGAGGAGAGGGAAGAAGCAGAGGAGCAAGGGGAGAAAAGGAAGGAGCACCAGGAGGAGGAGGAGGAGGAGGAGGAGGAAGAGGAGGAAGAGAAGGAAGAGGAGGAGGATCAGGAGAAGAGGAAGAGGAAGAAGGAGAAGAAGGAAGGGGGGGAACAAGCGAGGAGAAGAAGGAAGAGGGGGAACAAGCGAGGAGGGAGGAGGAGGAAGAGGAGAATGTGAGGAGGAGGAGGATGGGAGGAAGAGGAAGAGGAGGAGAGGGAAGAAGAAGAGGATAAAGGGAGGAAGAGGAAGGCTGAGAAGAGGAGGAGAATGGGAGGAAGTGTAGATAGGAAGAGCAGAAAGAAGAGGAGGAGGAGTGGAAGCAGTACCATACCGTGGGCAGATGACATCGAGAGCAATATCAAAAGAGCTGGAGTATACTATGTGCAGTAGAGAAAGTCGCCCCCACATCAGTAGAAGTTACAGATGCAAAAAAAAAAAGAAAAAAAAAGATGTAAGGAGTCCCAGCTCATGAAAGAACTGACCAAGAAATGGAAAACAGAAAAGAATGTGACCAAACAAAAACATAAAATTTAAAGTTAAAAAGAATAAATTGGAAAAAAGAACAAAAAAAACAAAAGAAGAAGACGGACACAAGGGGAAAAGGAGGAGACTGTTATTATTTGTCAAGCTTGATTTAAAAAAAAAGGTGCGGACTGTTGTTATTTGTCAAGCTTGATTTTTAAAAAGAAGAAGGGAAAAAAAAAAAAAAAAAAAAAAGAAGAAGAAGAAGAAGAAAGAGACACAAGGGGTAAAGGAAGGGCTGAGGGACCAAATGCAACAATTCAACATCTCGTATTTGTCAAGCTTGTGCAATTGCAGTTCGGGCACCGTACCTGGCCACAAAGTTGGGTTGTATACATTGCCCAAACTGCAATTCGAAACTGTATCTCGGCCCATAGTGCAATTATAACTCATTTTTGTGACTCCCGCGTAGTTTCCCCCCCACAAAAAAAAAGAAAGAGGAGGGGGAAGAAATAAAAATTGACAATTGCACCAACTGCCCTATCTCAGTCGGTACACCCCCCCTGGACTGAACTGTTGAAATACAGACCAGGTGCAGAGTTCTAACTCCACTGAAGTCAAATGGCTAAAATTATAGTAAAATAGTACAATCTTGAATTACCAAGGGCCGGTCAGTTTGATGATCATATCTCAGGGCCGTCGCCCTTTTTTTTTTTTTAAGAAAAAAATAAAACTTCTTCTAAATTGTTAGGGCATACCCACACTATACCTGCAAAGGAAAAAAAAAAAAAAAAAAAAGAGGTTCCATAACTCTTTTTGAGCCCTAACCCTTCAACGCTAAACCCTGAACCCTAAATGAAAAACCATAAATGAGGTAAAAAAAACACAAGTGCGAAGTGTGAGCGGGCCAGGATATTAAACTTACAATTCTCAATTATTTTTGGCAGTTTTTTTTTTTTTTTGGAGGGGGGGGGCCGGGCCGCGGGGGGAGTGTGTTGCGAAACCGGCCTTAGGTTTCTCTCGGCAGTCAGCCATTAAAAGGGTGATTCAAGCATTGTTCACACTTGGAGTTTCTAGACTGAACTTGGCTGTAATTATGGTTTGATTCATTGGGAAAAGAGAAATTGTTAATGTGAAAATGCTCACAAACATGCTTTCACGTTCGAGAAGAAAGATGTGGAGGCCCTGGTGTTCAGAAAGGAAAAAGGAAAAAAGGCCTTCAAACTGTCATCATGAACCCTCAACCCATGCCTTATTCCCCTGAACAAAACACCTGGTTATTAAATCTTTATTCACTATTTAGTACAGTTTTCAATCCAGATACATATGTAATGTCAGAGAATTGTGTTCAGAGGAAGAAGGTAGCCTTAACAGTCATGAACCTTATTAGATTCCTAAAGTGAAACCTTAAACCCTACGGCTTACGAAAAAATTCAACCACTAGGATTCTTGAGTTTTCGCCTTGGGGTCCTCTGACTGCAAGCCCTAAATTGTCAGTTTTTTATAAACCCTAACCCCTGAATTGAACACGATCCTAAACCCTAACAACCCTAAACTCTAAACCCTAAACCCTAAACCCTAAAGCCGAAGCACTCAACCACTACGAAAGACTGGTGTTTTAAGCCTGAAATCCTAACCGCAGGCCCTCTAAACCCTTGGTCCTAGAAATCATATACCTATAATCACTAACCCTAAACCTCTGAACCTTAAATCTGAATCGTTAAAAAACCATTTCATTTCTTGGATTTAGTTTATTTATTTATTAATTGAAAAAAAAAATGGCCAGCCAAGAGGGAGGTCCCGCTCTCCATAGGATTGAATGGTGCTTGAGCTCATGTGACGTGTGGCACAGAGAGAGGGAGAAAGTGACAACAAAATAATATGGTGGTGCTATGCAATCCAACCATCACATGATAATGATCCAACGGTTGATGTTGCAAGGCCAAGGCCACAGTGTTGTAATTGGTGGAAAAGATGGAAAGAATGTCAAATGAAAATGGTAATGATGACCACTAACACACACTTCATAATTGTTATAGGAGTGGTTCTGACTCCTAAAAACGTTGGGAAGTAGAGGACCTTTGGGTGCTCTGTTGATGTAATATCGAGGTGTGATGGGTGGAAATGAATTCGTAAGGCGTTTGGGAACAGTGTGGTGATGGTAGATGGTCGACGTAGGCGTATGTATGAATGCAAGCAGTGGATGGCGGATGATCATGATATTCTATTTTAATATCTTAGAAGATGGCAACGAGAATCTGCGTGGACAGGAAGTTGCTAGTATCTGTGTTGTGGAGTCCAAGTCAGGAAACACTTCTATAGGCCTGCAGCCTGGAAGCTTTGGTCAAAATGAATGGAGCGGCTAAGGATTTTCAAAAGCAGAGCACGATTGCTTACCTTTGGAGAATTATATCACGTACTATCAAAGATGTCTACGGTTGGCAGGTGAATGCAAGAGTAATTGTCAAATTGAAATCCGATGACATAATTAGGTTAGTCGAGGCGAGGAAGTTAGTCAACGATAAGTTGGAGTGTATGTACTTACCTTCTTGTTTGAAGATCCTAACGCGTAATTTTGTTTGTATCGTTTGAATAAAGAATTCATCGGTCGCGGACTGTTTACACAATCAATGAGCTTTCACTAAAGTTGAGGTGTCGACCTGCATATGCACAGGTTCTCCCTATCCTCGGATAGATGCTCACGTACAATTTCGATTACAAGAATTGGAGGGTGTACACCCCATGATGTGGAATGCAAATAACATTCCTAAGTTGGCTCATCACAACAGGGGTGGCCTATTGGCGAATGAGATTGGCGATGCCTTGAATGGTTGGAGGCTCGAAGAAAAAGTCGAGCCTGGACGGTCGTAAGGTTCGGGAAGTTAGTGAGGTTGATAGATACCTGACGGATAGCACCGGAATGAGGGAGAAGTACCTTGATGTACACGCAGTAAGAAGTTTGAAAGTTAGACTGGATGGTTACGTGCTCTCTCCTCTTGATAGGAACGTTGGCGATACTTTTCTTCTGTTCGTATGTGTACTATGAGGTGATGATGAGTATGTTTGTCCGCAATCCAGGGTACATGGTTAACCCGAATCCAAAGAAAGTTGTGATGTCGGATATGAAGATGAAAGCAAAAAAAATGGATCTGCAACAATTTGTTAGGTGGGAAACAAATGGGGATTGGTGATGCCTACATGCTCCAGATACCTATATGTCCCACGTTTTTGAAGACCACGGTTAAGACTGGATGTTGTGTGGCTAAGGCTCTAAACCACCTCCTCTTCACGTTGCCTGCTAATTTGCATTTTAATATGAAATCCTTGTCGTAGGTTGTCCCACGTTTGTAGTTGTTTAACAAGAAGATCGACAGGAAGGCTAAGCAATATGCTGAACTTGTCTCTATATCATATGACATTAAAAACCTATTCAACAAATTGCCTCATGATGAGATCCTTGAGACAATTGACTGGATCGTGGACTATCAATTGAGAAAGGGAAGACATTTCGTGTGTGTGAACCCTAGAGGTAAAGGTAGCACTTACAGGGTGACAACTGGTGATGACCACTGGAGGACGATTGACCTGGAGCAATTACGAAAATATGTAAGGCTTGAATACATACACATACACAAATGCAACGAGAGTGTTGCTGAGGCAAGAGGTGGGAATTCCCATGGGGAAAAGCACAAGTTCCCCACTTGCCTGCACTATGTGTGCCTTTGTAGAGTACCAATTTTTGAATAGTTTGGGCAAGTCATGCCATTATGCGTTTGGACTGAGGTTGTTGGATGATGGGTCCTCTACCTCCTCCCTACGAATCCTCCCCGGAGGCGACCATGCACGGCCAAGGTCACGGCCGCAGCTGGGCCACGCGGCCATGCAACTTTGTGTCCGCTTGGCGACCAG